TATATTTCTATCTGATATGTTTATGTAAACTCGAATATATGCACACATTATTTTTTAAAATTATAAATAAAAATATACTAATGTAATTATATTAATTTAATATATCATATGTTAAGTAATTAATATTTAATAGAATAATAATAATCTATTAAGAAACTGAAATAATTTTTTTTTTTTTGAAGTATATGGATCAAGAAATGGGCGGGAGATGGCAATTTGACGTTTAGCAATATAGTACACGTCGATGATGAGTTATGATATTTCAAATTTCAATAACTTTTACCAACATGGGATATGTTGCTGATTGGAGGGCAAACCTTTTAGCAACATGAGACATGATGTTGAAGGTTCTATATATACTCCACTCCCCACCCCCCACCCACCAAGTTGATCTCCTCCATTTTCTTCCTTCTGCAATTTCTTCTATGTGCCTAATGTGCTGTTTGAATGCCTCAATTTCTCAGTGTTTTTTTTTTTTCCTTCATTTTTGTAGAAATCCTCCATATCTCACTCATTTTTTATCCATTAATTATATCAGATATTTCTTTGCTTTTATCATAAAATTCTCATACATATATCATTAATTAAATTAATTTTCAAGAACTTCTTCATTTTCTTTAGGTGTATATTGTGATTATATTGTATTCAATATTTTTATGAACATTAAGTGATTAAGTATGTTTTAATTTATTTGAAAATTAATAAAATTATAAAGGCAAAATCCCACAGATTACCCTTCAACTTTTTGAGTGTGTGGAACTTTACCCCTCACTTTACAATATATGATTTTATACGCTCTTGATATTCAAATTTATGATTTTATACCCTTATGGTATTTCATATGTATTTCATATTAATATTTAGTGCCATATGTCCAAATTAAAAATTTTATTTTTTAATTCATGAACTAAATGAATTTAAATGAATTTAAATGAAATTAACTTAAATTTCTTCATCTTCATTGGTTCTCCTCATCCTCCTCCTTGTCATCCTCTTTGGCATCCTCTTCGTCATCCCTTTTCATCATCCCTCTTCATCATCTGGGTTCCTCGAGGTACCCAGTTTCTAGGTTCCTCATGGAACCCAAATATAGGCTCCTTGTGGAACCCAGATCTGGGCTCCTCCAGGAACCCAATTTTCTTTTTTCTTGATCGCCACCGGGATATGTCTTGTTTTTATTTCATGATTCATTGTTATCATTGTTGAATCCATGGATTGGAAGTGTAAAACTCGCTTTTAACCTAACTATTGTTCATGATTCTAGTGAGAATCAAATTGTTTCGCAGAAGAAGTTTAATCTCTGTTTTTTTATCGAGTTAGTTAAAATATGGAAGAACTAATTTTTCAGCCTTGGTTGTTCTTGATTTGATGTTAGGTTTGGGTGTTCTCAGTTTCGAATCTGCAATGGAAGTGTTCTAATCTTGAATCTAATTTAACTTTTCTTCGAAAAGAATCAAATTGTTAATTTGTTATACTTGGAGTTGAATCTCTTCTTTGCGTGTTAGTAATCTCACGAAGAACTACTCGATTTCGTGTTTGAATGTTTTCAGCGTAGAAATCCAAATCTAAGGAGCACACTGAATCATCTCTAGAAGGGCAAGATTCTTTACTCCCAAATTCCAAAGAGTGGGGAAGTCTAGAGGCAAGGAAAAGAAGAGTCAACTCTTTGAGGCAAATACAGTCTATTATAATATTTTATATTTCTATCTAATATGTTTATGTAAACTCAAATATATACACACATTATTTTTTAAAACTATAAATAAAAATATACTAATGTAATTATATTAATTAATATATCAAATGTTAAGTAATTAATATTTAATAGAA